TGGCTACTTATACTTATGTTATATTTTTTTTATAAAAAATATAATATATATATATATATATATATATATATATATATATATATATATATATATATATATATTAGTCTACCTGCCTGAATATTCTGTCCTATTATTCAGGCCCGTAGAAACGAAGGAATAATTTATAACATTTAATATATATATATATATATATATATATATATATATATATATATATATATATATCTTTCGGCATGAGTAAAAGAGTACTCAGTGCAGAATAGCAGAGCAAATATGTATATATTAATAAATATACATAATCAACGTCTATAAAAGATGAATATCACAGAAGACGTTCATTTGATTCAATTACGCTTTACAATTATACAGTTGAAGTGTTGTCTAACCGTGGATCATTGACTTTCTTCTCATGCATTTGTTCATATTCCCGTTTATTCCGACCTCACTTTGAACATAGTATTTTGGGCTTTGCCGTGGCGGTTAGCATCAGCCATGCTGATTAAAGGCATAAAGAGCTCTCTCTGATTATTAATGGCGTGTCGTTTTGTTATGGAGGCGTTAAAATTTAAAAAAAAAAAAATTCTCAACAACAGATTGTAGGTCATTGTTGAGACCAGCACCAATTTAAAAAAGATATTCTTTATAAAATCCAAACAAAAATCTGCAACGTTATTGGCCCTGACCTGGTATCTCAGTCATTTTCGCACCGACGTAATGCATCTTCTGTTTGACTTTTCTTTTAATACTTTCATCGTAATTGCCCCAATAATATTTGCTGTATGGTACCTAGACTTTATAAATTTAAGCGCAGTACTAGATTGGCAGGTAGGTCTCATTATGTTACAGTTGAATTGGGTAGATATAAGTAAGTTTCTTTTCCTTCACTTCTTGTTTGTGAAAATCTCTTCCTGCTTCTTGCTTTCCAGCCAACTTTGACTTTCAAAATATTAAATGAATTGTCGATCATTATCTACTGTCGTCTTGATTTTTTTCCTTTTATTCTTCTCGCTCCTTACGAATGTTTTCTTTTTCTTACTCTTTCATATACAGTAAAAACTTGTGTCTTAGTGGCTTTATCACCTTGGTTGGGGTGAAATGAATAAAAAACCCAGAAAAATAATATTAAAATGTAAAACGCAAACTAGACTAAGTTAAAAACATCCCTGCTTGACACACGAGGAATTGGAACTCGGCTCTCCGATTTTTGTTTCCGAACCATTATCCATTACACCACCTGCACATCCAACCTTACAATACCTGATATACTCTAGCGTTCACCCGCATAGGTACTGACCAGGACCTTAAGATCGGCGATCATACAAGAATGAGTGTTTCAATGTGATATAATCCGTACGTCGTACGTGAACAGAAAAATGTGTCTTTTGATAATGTTCTGGATTTAATGTTGAGACAAAGGTGAATAATTTCTTTTTGGGTATCTCTTATGAAACAACATTATCAGTTGCATGTTTCTTGTCAACAACTTGCTCTGGTTTGCTTTGTCTTTTTTTGTTTTTTGCGGCATATCAGCCTCAATGGATTATTTAATACCAACAAAATTTTCATTGTTGGTAATATTTTTTCATTCAAAAATCAACTTCTGGTAAGAATTTTCTTTCGCTAGTAATATTTTTTTTACCAAAAATCTATTTGTGGTAATATTTTTTCATTCAAAAATCAATTTCAGGTAAGAATTTTCTTTTGCTGGTAATATTTTTTTTCTAAAAAATATATCGTGTGTAATACTTGGACCCCAGTTTCGAGGCTATCTATTTGCCCATAGCTAGGACCGTAACCGGTGCTACCACCCCGGTTCAGGGTAAACCTGGGAACATCAACAATTAATAGGTGGTACCAAGCTTCTCAAACCCTTCTGATCAGAGAGAGGCCTTGCTGTTGGACGTAGTTTATCTTGCCCAGGAGTCGGATGTAGTTTATCATCATACCCATGACGGCCTGTCAACAACTAGTTTATAAAAAAAAAAGGAGTTCATTCTATATAGAATATAGCTGCATAAATACCACCCGCACATCCAAGAACCTGGTATTTACAATCGGTCATCTATCTAGGTACTGACCAGGGTTCTACGTTGCTTCAATTCGGCTATCGTATGAGAACCGATGTTGAAATGCGATATGGGCGTAAGCACTATTGAAGAGATATTTTATGAATAATTAAGGCTTTTTGTTACTATCAACCTCGTGTTGAGTAAGATCTGTGATTATATATATATATATATATATATATATATATATATATATATATATATATATATATATATATATATGCGTGTGTGTGAGTACACTTTTTGTGGGCTTATTAGACACACGGACGCTTTCTCCATTTCTGTAGGGAATATTCAGAAAGAAATTGGAAGTGCCCATTTGACAAGGGTAAATATGAGATGACGCAGCCATTTCACCTTCGCATCTTGCACACAGCGCAGGTTTTGGGCATTTTTTTCAGTAACTCCCTTATGTACCCAAATACTGTTCATAGATGCAAATCAAAATGATGAATAGGACAAGCGGAGAAGACATGATTGATGTTCCACTGATATATATATATATATATATATATATATATATATATATATATATATGCAGAAAAATACCAACATGAATCTGCCTTTGAAAGATATAGATTCACACAGACACACACACAGACACATATATATATATGCAGAAAAACATACCGACATGAATCTGCCTTTGAAAGATATAGTTACACTATAAGAATATAGAACATAGAAAAGTATACGTTAAAGATACGCTCAACTGTAAATGTTTACTTATCATAGTATGCACAGGGTTCAGAAATAAGTAGATATAAAATATTTTCTTTTTGATAAATATCTGACAATGAGGAAGAAATTCGAAATGGACGTGTTTTTTTCAGTTCTTTTCCTTAAAACCAGAAATATTTTTGTGAGGTAACATGTGAATTTAAATTGGTATTTAACAAAACTCGCCAAGTTGAGTTTCATTTTTATTCATGAATAAAACATGGACTAATGGTCATATATATATATATATATATATATATATATATATATATATATATATAAAGAATGAAAAGTAAGATATATAATCTGTATATATATATAGCGAAAAAACATATTTTAAATCAATTAATTTATAATATATATATATATATATATATATATATATATATTATACACTGTTACATGATAACGTGTAAGTTGATACTACAAAATTGTACATTTTGTTTCGACGTTTGTTAAACAACGTCTCATCAAGGGAGCTAACAATGATGGTAATAAACGATTTTATTTAAAATTTGCATCACGTCATTTTCCGTTTTTGGAAAATTTTCCGTACAAGGTAAAAAGGAATTTTATAAAGAAAAAAAGGAAAGAAAATAAAAAATCAATAAAAGGAAAAGTGAGAAAAAAGAAAAGAAAGGCAAAAGAAAGCATAAGAAATTAACCCTACAACATTTGTATATATATATACATACATACATACATATATATATATATATATATATATATATATATATATATCGAAACTCATCTTAACGTAAACTATGTCAAAATATATTATAAAATGGATTAGGTCAAACAATTATTTAATATATTTTCTGTTCATACATTATTTTTTAGAGCTACAACTTATTGAAGTAAATATATCCGACAGGTATAGCGTGTACTATATATATATATATATATATATATATATATATATATATATATATATATATATATATATATATAAAGAGATAGATAGATAGATAGATAGATAGATAGATAGATAGATAGAAAAGTGAACATTAAAGACAAAATTTAGAGACGAGCGTCTGTTTCATGCTAGATGCAATCGTCAAGCCACAGACGATTGCGTCTTACAGGAAACAGACTCTCGCCTCTAAGTGTTGACTTCAATGTTCTTTTACACTGCGTGCCAAATTATTATCGAGGTAACTTTTTTCTAATATTTCAAAAACCGTGTTGGCAACACTGAGCTGCCCAATCCCTGAAATTTTCGTACTGATCTGCGCAATGCAAACAAACTGGCGCCATATTTGTTATCAGCACGTGATTTGAGCGTGCCATATTATTAGAAAGGTTTAGTAAAATTCCCAGAATCGAAATGTTAAGCGTCGTAGACAGTGGCTTGGTAAGGGGGAAGGACCCCAGCCACAGCCGAGAAGGGAAATTCATGGGCAAAAGGTTCTTCTTTAAATCTGGTGGGATCGCCAAGGAATAATCCACTTTGAATTCTGACCACCTAATGCAACAATTAATGCTCAAATATACTGTCAGCAATTAGAGCCTTTGAACCAAGCTTTGAGGAAAAAAAGACCTGCTCTGGTGAATCGAAAAGAGGTGATGTTTCATCAGGACAATGCGCGACCCCACACAGCAAGAATCACATCACAAAAGAACGAAGAACTTGGTTGGGAGAAAATTCCTCATCCACCTTATTCTTCCGATCTTGCTCCTTCAGACTACCATTTGTTTCGTAGCTTACAGAATCATTTGGAAGAAACAGCTTTTGTAACACAGGAAGAGGTTAAAACTGACATTTGTGAGTTCTTCGAATCAAAGCCCTAAAAATTTTACATCAATGGAATTAGTAAGCTTGTTAATAGATGGAAGGAAGTCATAGGGAAAATACATTGTTGATTGAATCTGTAATTAAATGTAACATTTGGTCACTTGTTTTCTTTATTCAAAATTCGGACAGAACTTTTGGGATGACCTGATATATATATATATATATATATATATATATATATATATATATATATATATATATATATATATATATAAATGCATCTTTTATATAAGATTTATTGAGGATGGCTGACAAGGTACTGCGTTTAAGCATTTTATTAAATTATTCTTGGGTTCGTACAACGAATGACTATATATATATATATATATATATATATATATATATATATATATATATATATATAATACATTTGTGAATAAATGTCTGTGGTGTGGGGAGTATCCAAGTTTATTTCCTGCATGTATAATAATTCTTTCATATTGTACATCTATCAAACATTAACTTTTTACTACAGTTTATTATTCATATTATAACTGTTTTAGGGCGTTTAACGCTGTGGTAATTTCAAGCAATTAATTTCTGACAATTATTTTGAATCTAAAAAATAGTCGAGTGCCTTAATATAGGGTAAATAAACAAAACTCAAAGCACCGAAAATTCCGACTTATTTCAATGAATATACATATAAAAATTAATTTAAATTTTCTTCTTTAAATATTTAGATCGTGCAAGATTAGACAAATTCACAGTAACAAATGTGTGCACTTAATACATTGAATTTTTGAAATACGAGAAAGCTGAAAATTTTTTAAATAAATCAGTGGAGAAATTGGAGAAGAGAATTAAAAGGAAATAACTGATAACTGACACCCATTAGACATTGCACGTGGAAGTAGAAGAGTCTACACCAGCGAGCGAAATAAAGGGTTCAATTCGACATTCCAAACATCTGAAGAAGACCGGTGTGTACAACAGCCGAAACATTGTGGGAAATTTGGCAACGAGCGCCCGAACAATGTAAATAGTGAACTTCGAAATTAATTTTAATTTCAAGAAAGAGAGAAAATTAGTGTAAAAATTAAAAAAACATCCCCAAATCACCGGTTTCATTTTCTGATGTGGTATATATACATACATATATATATATATATATATATATATATATATATATATATATATATATATATGTGTGTGTGTGTGTGTGTGTGTGTGTGTGTGTGTGCGCGCGCGTATAGTTATCACGATTGTTATCAAATTTCAACGTGTGTAGATTGCTGGAATTAATGGTGACTTCATCTGAAATAGTCAAAATCAAATTATACGCGGTCTTATATATATATATATATATATATATATATATATATATATATATATTCAACTCTCGTCGAATTCGACGTATCAGGGTCAAGCACATGAGATTTGATTATAGTGGTGAAGGTTTCGTGCAGGACCATCCACACTTTTTGAAGGGCCGAATACAGAGACCTGGTGTACTCTGTGCCACAAGGTCCCCAAACCACCCCCGCAGGTTTTTCAATTCTGATCTGTCCTTCTCCTAGACCAGTTGCCAACTAAGGCTATAGAACCAAGTGTATCCTGCTATTTACCCATAGATGGAGGGAGAAGAATATGATTCACTCATTTCCTAAGGGTATTAGCACGTACATATGAAATATAAATTATACACTTGAAGATACCATCTTTTGTGTGGAGCAAGATCTTATTTAGTTCGGACTGTTTATAGCTTAGATGTAGCACAAGGTCGAAAGTAGTGGGCACCCAGTGAGGATCGAACTCACTATTAAGTCGTAAACGATGTAGCAAGACAAGCCATCACACCATGTAATAGACTCTAGCATTATAATCTTTCCTTACATTCATTTTTGTTAATGAGATAGACGGTCGAAAATGCTTGAACAATCAACAACACAAACATGAATTTAGCACAGTTTATCAACAATTTCGCTCCCAATACACAACACAATATTAGAAACTGGAAAAATACAATAAAATATTAAACAGACAGACCATATCGTCTCTTTTTAAACAATCATGTTTGGAAGGTTACTTTCTGTTGTTTTCTATGTATGCGTGTACATATATATATATATATATATATATATATATATATATATATATATATATATATATATATGTGTGTGTGTGTGTGTGTGTGTGTGTGTGTGTGAGTGGTATGTTTTTGCGTGTTTGTGTATGTGCGTGTGTAAGTGATTTTATCGATTTGTATCTATTTAAATAACTCTCCATTTTCTAATCTTTTATTCATACTGTTACACTGACATATATAAAGTTATTCCAAATATCTATCTCTGTTCATATCTATCTATCTATCTACCTATCTCTGCCTGTTCAGATATATATTTATCTATCTAAGTCTGTTCATATCTATGTAGCTATCTAGCTTTCTATATCAGTCTGTTCATATCTATCTCAGCCTGTTCATATCTATCTATCTATCTATCTATCTATCTATCTATCTATCTATCTATGTCTGTTCAAATCTATCTATCTATCTATCTATCCATCTATCTATCTATCTGTTCAAATCTATCTATCTATCTATCTATCTATCTATCTATCTATCTATCTATCTTCTCCCTGTGTCTCCGTCTTTTTTTATATATGCATGTAAATTGAACGATATAAACGTATATATGTATGTGGAAATTCTTAGTTTACTCTGAAGGCCGAGAAGCAGATACGTAGCAAGTTATACTGATATAAACAGAAAAAGATAAGATCTGCAATTCAGTATATTTTCTCTCTCACTCCCTCTCTCTCTTTTCACACACACATCCCCCCATATATATATATATATATATATATATATATATATATATATATATATATATATATATTTCCATTCGTCTCTCTTATCTAAAAAATATCTAAGTAGCAAGTTAAAAATGACATAAAGATTACCGAGAGAAAATCAACATGGCGTATGAGCGCGAGTCTATCTCAGCCTGCCAATGCACACGCAGCCATTTGCTTATTTCTACTGTTTTTGAATTTTTCTTTGACTTTTCCGCAAAGTATTTTACAAGACTGTTCGTTCGCAATGTCACGTGATACACAATACAAGATTTTGTAAAATTTTCATTTTCTTTTTTAATTGCTATTCTGACGAATATTTTCTTGCTAGTATTCATTGTATTTACATATCTAATCACTTCTGTGGCTTCGTCTTTTATTTTTCTTAATTCTTTCCATTTTTCTCCACCAAAGAGAAACCGGTTACGTTCGTTTCGAAGGCAAGGAATTGTGGGAAATATTGTTCGTTTGTATAATCAGGAATATGTATTTCTTTTTCCGCTTTGACCAAACGGCCTTTAAATTATGCAGTACGCTCAAATAATGTTTTAAAAAATATTTTTTAGGAAGATTTAGATATTTGCTAAATAAAAACTAGGTTTTTCTTAAAGGTACCATCATTGGAAACCCAGTTAGGATTACATTCACTATTCAGTAATAATGTGGCCAGATTGATAACCATTACATCTTAATGAGCTATAGTAATCTTAGCTTGTCCTGGCTTTTAGATGAACCATTAAGGTTATTATTGATTTAAAGCCCTTTCCTTTTGTCATTTATTTTGTATTGAGAAGTCATGTTAATTTAATCTTTACTATCATTGCATAATGAAACATGAAATGAATTCCATGATAAATGTTATCAGGTAGATATATACAAATACAGAAGGACTTATACCCATGTTTGATAGATTAATCAATGGCATTTTTGTAAGTTGGGACAAAATACGTATTTGAACTGCAAGGTAAACTCGAATTGGAAACGTGTTAACCAAGCACACCATAATAAAAAGTAAATGCGAATAAAACAATGTTGCGGCTTCTCAGCGGATTTATTTGATCTATACAAGCTGGTGACCCTAAGAGAATTAGAATTCCTACAAGGATTTAGCGTTAGGTGCTACGATCTTAAAAACAGGGATCACATATTGTTGATGGCAGATTCACAAAAAGAACTGTAAGAAATCCTAGTTAAGGGCGTAAACTTGCAAAAGATCTATTAACGCTAAAATTATGTAAACTCTACGAATAATGTAAATAGTGAACTTCGAAATTGTTGTTAATTTTAAGAAAAAGAGAAAATTAAGTGAAAAAGAAAAAAGATCCCCAAATCACCGGTTTCATTTGTAGCATATATATATATATATATATATATATATATATATATATATATATATATATATATATATATATATACGTTTCATTAAATAATATAGACAAGTGTTGTCTATTTATTTTATGTAAAAATTTTTTCGTATCTTCTGATAAGTTTGATAACATTATCATTAACCGAAAAAAAAGAAATTCACAATATTTATCCATTATTTTTAATAAAATCTAAGCTTTCGGCTTACTCAAGCCATTATCAAAGATGTAATTACAAACATATCAAACAATATACGGACACGACAGTGATGATAGTCTGTCATTGTTTTGTTTACATAGTGGATCACTACAACGATGAACACGCGCATATAAGACGCTAGAAGCGAAAATCGCACTGCATCTCATGACGTCACACATGACTACACGAGAGTGAATTGTAGAATGAAATAAGGAAAGCTGTTGGTATAAACCAATGGCTTCTGTTACCAATTATAGAAATTATAGACATTTAAGAATATTTGTAGAGATTCCATAGTTATATATATGTGTGTGTGTGTGTGTATGTGTGTATGTGTGTGTGTGTGTGTATGCTTCTCACAATTATCAAATTTCGGCGTGTGTAGATTGCTGGATTTAATGGCGACTTCATCTAAAACAGTTTTATTTATACCTGGTCTTTTATATACAGTGTATCACAAAAGTGAGTACACCCCTCACATTTCTTCAAATATTTAAGTATATCTCTTCAGGGGACAGCACTGAAAAAATTACCTTTTGACACAATGAAAAGTAGTCTGTCTGCAGCATATATAACAGAGTTAATTTCTTTTCCCTCAAAAAATAACTCAAAATATAGCCATTAAAAAGCTAAATCCCTGGCAACAAAAAGTGAGTACACCCCTAAGAAACTACACCCCTAAATGTCTAAATTGAGTACTGCTTTTCATTTTCCCTCCAAAATGTCATGTGACTCATTAGTGTAACTATGCCCATGTGTTCATGGAGAGCAGGTGTATTCAAATTTCTAGTGCAGCACTAACACTCTCTCTTTCCGGTCACTGAAAGTTCCAACATGGCACCACATGGCAAAGAACTCTCTGAGGATCTTAAAAAACGTATTGTTGCAAGGCTACAAGAAGATTGCCAACACCCTGAAACTGAGCTGCAGCACAGTGGTTAAGATCATCCAGCATTTTAAAAGAGCAGGGTCCACTCAGAACAGGTCTCGGGTAGGTCGTCCAAAGAAGCTGAGCGCACGTGATGAGCGTCACATCCAAATGCTTTCTTTGAAAGATCGGCGTAGGAGTGCTGTTAGCATTGCTGCAGAGATTAAAGAGATTGGGATTCAGCCTGTTAGTGTTCAGACCATACGCTGCACACTACATCAAATTGGTGTGCATGGCTGTCACCCCAGGAGGAAGACTCTTCTGAAGGCAATACACAAGAAAGCCCGCAAACAGTTTGTTGAAGACATGTCAACAAAGCCCAGAGATTACTGGAACCATGTCCTATGGTCTGATGAGACGAAATTTAATTTGTTTGGTTCTGATGGCCTTAAGCATGTGTGGCGGCGACCAGGCGAGGAGTACAAAGATAAGTGTGTCATGCCTACAGTCAAGCATGGTGGTGGGAATGTCATGGTCTGGGGCTGCATGAGTGCTGCTGTTATTGGAGAGTTACATTTCATTGAGGGAAACATGAACTCCAACATGTACTGTGAAATACTGCAGCAGAGCATGATCCCCTCCCTCCAGAAACTGGGTCGCAGAGCAGTGTTCCAGCATGACAATGACCCCAAACACACATCCAAGACAACCACTGCTTTACTGAAGAGGCTGAGGGTAAAGGTGATGGACTGGCCAAGCATGTCTCCAGATAATAGAGCATCTTTGGGCCATCCTCAAATAGAAGGTGGAGGTGCGCAGAGTCTCAAATATCCGCCAGCTCCACGATGTCGTCATTGAGGAGTGGAAGAGCATTCCAGTGACTACTTGTGAAGCTCTGGTAAACTCCATTCCCAGGAGAGTAAAGGCAGTTTTAGATAATGATGGTGGCCACACAAAATATTGACAGTTGACATGTATGTTAATATTGACAACTTTTCCTAAGCGGTGTACTCACTTTTGTTGCCAGGGATTTAGTTTTAATGGCTATATTCTGAATTATTTTGAGGGAAAAATAAATTAACTGTTATATATGCTGCAGACAGGCTACTTTTCATTGTGTCAAAGTGTCATTTTGTCAGTGTTGTCCAATGCGGAGATATACTTAAATATTTGAAGAAATGAGGTGAGGGGTGTACTCATTTTGTGATACACTATATATATATATATATATATATATATATATATATACATTAAATATAACTTTTACACAAGAAGATACCATCTCTTGTGTTAAGTAAGATCTTATTTAGTTCGGACTGTTTATTTTATATGATAATAACAGCGAGAGATTTTACGAGCATAGCTTAGATGTGGCACAAGACCGAAAGTAGAGGGCACCCAGCGAGGATCGAACTCACTACTAAGTCGTAAACAATGTAGCAAGACAAGCCATTACTCCATGTAATAGACTCTAGCATTATAATTTTTTCTTACATTCGTTTTTGTTAATGACATAGACGGTGGAAAATTCTTGCACAAACAACACATTATTGTCGTCAGCAAGAATTATAGCCAAGAATATCAGGTTCGAATTGGAGATTTCAGAATCAAGTAGCTACAGAATTAGAAAAATCTGGGTGGTATAGGAATTCCAAGCGGAAAAAGCGAAACATATCCAAAGAAAAATATGCTTTACTGAAAGAATATGATATATTATGAAATAGAAAATTTACACTAGAAACAAAGAAAAAAGTGAATACTATTATATATCTATCTACCTACTTAGCATTAATGAGAATAAATTTCCTTATGGATGAAAGTGTATAGACGTATCTTGAATTTAAATGGAGGAGCTTGTCATCAAGGTTGCTGAAAATGCAGGAGCTGTAGGAGCTAGGAGACTCGAGTTTCAGGATTATCCACAGAGGTTTAAAGACGTGATTATTCGGTCAGGTGGCATTGTAATTGTGAGATCAGTGTGGTGTTTAATTGGAGTATATTCAGGTATCGTTGAAAAAAGTACTAGCATTAGTTGAACAATTAACAGAGACTAGATGCCCGTAAACATGGAGATTAGAATGAGGCAAATCAACCCTAACTAAGTTGAATAAAATGCTCGCGCTGGCATACACCTGATGAATGCTGGATAAAGCAAAGACCGAAATCTTGTAATCGTGACAAAAATATGAGGACAATGGACCAACTTTAAATTATGCAAATACATCTACCTGGGGAGAGTTAGTAATGCTTCGTCTGTAATATGGGATCCCAAAGACACGGAATGTTTTCAAATTCTAACGATCGCTCTATTTGCGATCTGTATGTAGTATTATACTAGAATAAGATTTACCTTCAATTCCCCACCTCATCAACAAAGAAGTTACGTAAACCAACTGAAGGAAACACGGCCGCCGAATAAAGAAGCATGCGACTTCAAATCTTCGTCCGGATTTGCAAGCACGAAAAGGATTTGTAATGCACACAGTTATAGACAAGCAATCACAGTGAAGTGTCGTGGAGGCTCTCAGAGATCGACAGACAAGAAGATAAGTTTCCATGATACGGACGAGAGCTCTCCGGGCTGCACGGCACACATTAGCTAAGAGGAATTGATGAAGTAATGAAGTTAAGTAAAATGTATTGTTAAACAAGAAAACATCATCTAAAAAGTTATTCATAAGTAAGCAATCACAGTGAGTTATACATGGCATATATATGTGTGTGTGTGTGTGTGTGTGTGTGTGTGTTCGTGTGTGCGTGATAAAAATATAGTTGTAGGGTATGCTATATTTATGGGACAAAGTGCTTAATATCGGAGATAGAGCGTATGTAAATATATAAGTGGACGCTGAGGTCAACACCAAGCGGCAACACACACACACACACACACACACACACACACACACACACACACACACACACACATATATATATATATATATATATATATATATATATATAGGACTTTTAAACTGATAGTACGTTTTAGATATGTCTTCGCAGTTTTTAGCGTATTGAGCTTTGTGAGATTCCATGTTGCTTTCATGGGGTGCGTATGGAACTATAATCGGGGAGA